GGTGTGACATGCTCTCTGTAGTAAGTGATAGTGACATGTATCAGTGAGAAAAACTTGTAGGATGCTGCCCTCCAGAACCTTTGTTAAATGAGCTAAAGCATACCAAGTGCACACAGTATGGCAAGCTATCAAGACTCATCAGGGAAGCATGTCTGTCTCCAGGTGGGAGGGGATCAAGGGCAGAGCAGTCACACCATCAGAATAAGGACTTACCTCCTAAATGTAAGACCAGATACTATAAAACTCTTAGAGGAAAACATAAGCAGAACACTCTCTGACATAAATCATAGCGAGATCTTTTTTGATCCACCTCCTAGAGTAATGAAAATAAAAAAAAAAACAAACAAATGGGACCTAATTAAACTCAAAAGCATTTGTACAGCAAAGGAAACCATAAACAAAATGAAAAAACAACCCACAGAATAGGAGAAAATATTTGCAAACAATGCGACTGACAAGGGATTGATCTCCAAAGTTTACAAACAGCTCATGCAGCTCATGTGAAAGAAACAAACAACCCAATCAAAAAATGGGCAGAATACCTAAATAGACACTTCTCCAAAGAAGACATACAGATAAATGGCCAACAAACACATGAAAAGATGCTCCACATCGCCAATTATTAGAGAAATGCAAATGAGGTATCACTTCACACAGTCAAAATGGCCATCTTCAAAAAGTCTATAAAACAATAAATGCTGGAGAGGGTGTGGAGAAAAGGGAACCCTCCTACATTGTTGGTGGGAATATAAATTGATACAACCACACTGGAGAACAATATGGAGGTTCCTTCAAAAACTAAGAATAGAGCTACCATATGATCTAGCAATCCCACTCCTGGGTGTATATCCAGAAAAAACAATGGTTTGAAAGGATACATGCACCCCATTGTTCATTGCAGCACTGTTTACAATAGTCAAGACATGGAAGCAACCTAAATGTCCATCGATCGATGAATGAATAAAGAAAATGTGCTACATATATACAATGGATTATTACTCAGAAATTAAAAATAATGAAATAATGCCATTTGCAGCAGCATGGATCGACCAAGAGATTATCATACTAAGTGAAGTAAGTTAGACACAGAAAGACAAATACCATATGATATTGCTTACATGCGGAATCTAAAAAAATGATACAAATTAACTTATTTACAAAACAGAAACACGCACAGACTTAGAGAACAAATTTATGGTTACCAGGGGGAAAGGGTGTGGGGGAGGGCTAGATTGGCAGTTTGAGATTGACATGTATACACTACTATATTTAAAATAGATAACCAACAAGGACCTACTGTATAGCACAGGGAACTTGGCTCAATATTCTGTAATAACCGAAATGGGAAAAGAATTTGAAAAAGAATGGACACTCATATGGGTATAACTGAATCACTTTGCTGTACACCTATAACTAACACATCATTGTTAATCAACTACACTCCAATATAAAATTAAAATTAAAAAAAATAATGTAGCCAATGAGAAAGCAATAAAATATATGCACTCTATAAAAAAAAAAAAGAATAAGGTCTTATCTGAAACTCCAAAGATGGGGATATAAATGTTCCTGGAGAAAAGCTGAGGTGAAAGTGTATTCCAGGTAGAGAGAATAACAATAAAAAGGTAATAATATGGAAAATCTTGAGCCTGAGCGGTGAAGAGAAGTGAGAAATTACAAGTAGTTCAACACTACTGAATGGGGAATGGGGTGACTTTTGAGGGTAGCATTTGCCTGAGAGAGTAACATGAGATGAGGCAGGGAGAATTGAAAGGTACCACAACACAAAGATATTTTCTTATAGACAATAGGGACACACTGAATAATTTTAAATGGGGGAGATGAATGGAAAGCGGATCAGTAATGTGGGTCTGAAATAGGGAAAGAGAAAAAAGGCAGAAGATAAGACTTTGTGACTGTTTAAAAGTGGGACCAGGGCTTCCCTGGTGGCGCAGTGGTTGAGAGTCTGCCTGTCGATGCAGGGGACACGGGTTCGTGCCCCGGACGGGAAGATCCCACATGCCGCGGAGCGGCTGGGCCCGTGAGCCATGGCTGCTGAGCCCGCGCGTCCGGAGCCTGTGCTCTGCAATGGGAGAGGCCACAACAGTGAGAGGCCCGCGTACCGAAAAAAAAAAAAAAAAAGTGGGACCAACCAAGAGGATGGTCTTCTCATTCTGTGAAAAATATTGGGGACCAGTGGGCTTGGGATGAGAAAAGCTAGCTCCAAAATCCACCAGCAATATTGTGCCACAAGTAGCAGAGTTTTCAAAATATCCTTAACATTATCTCATCAAAGTGTAAATGTGGTTTTGCTTAGCCTTTCCAACCTTATATATTCTCTCACGTGCTTGACAATCCCACTCTACGTCATCAGAATATATAGCATCGCCTACGGGTACCTGCATGTTTTTGCACATCATTAGAGTGTTATTCTCCCGGGACCATGGTAGACACAGAAAAATAAAGAAAACAGGCAGGAAGTAATATCCTGTGTCTTATGCTATCCTAGCATTTAGTAAAAAAAATATTGGTATTGGCTTTCTTTGCTTTCAGTACTGCTCTTCAAAACAATACCAAGATTCTTTCATTTCCTTCTTTGTTATTCTGTGAACGCTTTTCATATTCTTTACAACAAGCTTGAATTTTTTTATAACCAGAAGAAAAATACTTTTTAACAACAATAATATCACCCCTCCAAAAAAAAAATCCTTGGGAGGTAGTGGGGAAACAGCAAACAAAAAACACACCCACCGTATAATCACTATGTAGAAAAAGGTAGGGTAAACATACAAGAAAATGTGTGTTGTCATGACACTGTAACACACCATCCATTTGAGCGCAGTATAAAAACAAGGCTGGTTCAGAGCTGCAGCTTGAACCTCCCATGCTTCTGTACGGAAAAAGCACCACTCCATTGGGCTAACAAACTTGGCTTTCTTATAGTTGAGGCTTTAAGAGACACTGCAGAGGGTTGGCTTACTTTAATTCAACGAGCTATAGCTCCCCACATAATATATGGGTAAGTTTACTCAAAGCACTTTTTATCAGTTGTCAATCTGTTTCCTAGCCTGCATTTGGCTACATTTCAGGTAGCAAAGGAGAAAGCAGGTATTATCCTAAGGTTTTTGTCCTAGGGGAACTAACTGTTGCCTATTACTTTAGTGAATTGTATGTGAAGTAACTGCTGTTCTTCTACTATGTTCTGTAGTATTATTCACATAAATCTTATGTAAAGCTAGGTCTGTATACAATCTACTCAGTTTAGTCAAAAGTGGGTGATGTCTATATACGTGTATCTAGATAGTTGGAAGTGGTGGTTATGTCATTCATCCCATGTTGAGACATCAATGAAGGTGTATTGATTCCTTCCGCTTGGAATCTGTTCAGTGTGTCTGCCCACATTCTAAGAATTTTATGTCATCCATTGTTTTTCTTCTCTACACATTGAAGGCTGATCTCTTGGTATTCCTATAGCATTACCTTACTCCAAAGTCTTTTGTGAATGAGTTTCTTAAGTTTCGGTGGGTATTTCTGAAAATACAAACTATTCTACCACCTTTTTCTCATCTTCTTTGAACTCTTTCACTGAGGTTCATGTAAGGGTGGCTAATAATGGTAGGACAGAGAGAGTGGAAGAGAGACAGGTGAGGGAGAGAGAGAAAGAAATGCACACATTAACAGTTTTCTCTTATGAACAAGAAAATTGGCCATTTTCCTACTAGCATATGAGGAACCTAAGACTGTCCCTTGTTGTCAAGGCAACAGCTGTTCCTTGGGTAGCCTCAATAGAAAAGAAGCCAGAGCAATCTTTATAGGATCAAGTCTTTTTTATCATCAAATCATAGAAAGGAATCTTGAGAGTCTACCCAGCCTATTCTCCTGCCTTTAGTTAACACCTACGAAAATAATTTGAAACTAATACAGAAAAGTCTTATTTTGAATAATTCTGGAAAGATTACGTAGTTTTACTTGGTAATCATTTGCAGTGTTTTACATTTCACACTAATTGTAAGTTTTTTTTCAATCATTCTAACTTAAATCTTCCATGCTTCAGTTTGAAATCCACTTCCTATTGTTCTAATCTCAGTGGAAATAAACAACTGTATACTTCCTAAGAGAGTCTTGCCTGTACTTAAAAAAATAACAAAAATGTCTGACAAATTCCTCAAAGTGAATAATGCTGTTCTTTTTTTTTTTTTTTTTTAGCCATTTGTATTGTAGGTCCCCTCTGATGAAGTCCTACACTCTGCAAGACCATCCCTCATTAGGGAACCCAATCCTATCTTGTTACTTATCTGAAAGGCTGATCAGGGGTGCCCCAAAAGAGCAGGACACCACCCTGTTCTCAGTCTATCTGCTCAAGGCTTTCAGGTTAACTTAATCTGTAGAATTACATTCATCATACAGTTGTTTTGCACAGATTGGCTGATAGAGCTTTTTCTTCTTGGTTTGAACATAATCATTCATTTCGCACGTGGTACTTCGGCAACTGATTTTTCTCTTCAAGTAGACTACTATCACATTTCCTGGTAGAATCATATTTTCTTGGTTCTTTCTTTCAAGGTGAAGCTCATGCCCTCGCTCCCTCACACTAGCAGGTTTAATGAGCATACTTTCTGTGCCACTGTCCATGTCACTAATGAATATATGCTGAGCGCTAACCACAGGAAGGCATCCTGGAAATATTTTTTTTTTTAAAGATATCCATATTGGTCAGCAAGGCACAAAACAATTTATCACCTCGAGCCAGAAATATCCCTCTCACTGGATTTCCTGTATAATTTTGGCTTATTACTTTAGTTCTTCAGCCATGGATGACATACTTACTGGTCCTAATTTTCCTTATCTTTAATGTGGAGGGACTGCAAACATAGACTAATAGTTAGCATTTATTGATCCCTTTCTCTATGTGAGGCACTGTGCTAATCACTTATATCATCTCATTTCAGCTTCCTAACAATCCTAAAAAGTAGATATTTATTGTCATTCCCATTTTACAGAAAAAGAAAGTGACCCTTAGCATGGTCAAGCAACTTTCCCAGGATAACATGGCTACTGGACAATGGAGCAAGATTTTGGCCTGACCTCCCACACTATTAACCACTCTGCCACGGGAGCAGGAAAATGGGTACTCCACTCACATGCTGTGCTCTAAGCATATTAGTTGGTAGACTCTTTCTGGAAGGTAAGAAAAGAATACAGAAAGAATTCTTTAAAAGGTGCACATGCTTTTCTCCGGTATTTATTTTATAATATTATGTGCCAGGCACTGCCCTAAGCATTTTTCAAATATTAAAAATAAACCTTTATGGCAACATTATATTGACATTATCTCTATTTTACAAAAAAGAAAATTGAGGCACTTAGAAACTAAACAATTTTCCTGAAGTTTCACAATTCATAAGATGTGAAGCTGGGTTGTGGCTGCTAAATCATATATTAATATATTGACAGGAAAAGAAAGTAAATGAAATAATATTATGATGTATCTAATTTTTATTTAAAAATAGAAATTTATGGGACTTCCCTGGTGGCCCAGTGGCTAAGAATCTGCCTGCCAATGCAGGGGACATGGGTTCAAGCCCTGGTCCGGGAAGATCCCACATGCCGCGGAGCAGCTAAGCCCACGAGCCACAGCTACTGAAGCCCGTGCGCCTAGAGCCCGTGGTCTGCTACAAGAGAAGCCACCGCAATGAGAAGCCCGTGCACCGCAACGAAGAGTAGCCCCTGCTCGCTGCAACTAGAGAAAGCCCGTGTGCAGCAACGAAGACCCAACGCACCCAAAACTAAATAAATAACTAAATAAATTACAAAAAACAATAGAAATTTATGTATGAACACACAGAAACTAGGAGAATATAACAACAAAATTAAACAGTGATGGAGTTATGGATGGGTGATTTTTTTTCTTGAATATATCTGTATTTTTCTTTTTTATTTACAGTGAAAGTATATTTCTTTTCTAAATAGCAATTCTTCATTTAAAAGTAACCTAAAGAGATTGTAGTAAGGTTTCTTTGGGGTCTTTTTGACAGTGGGATGGTAGTTACCTTATATAAGTTTATAGGAACAGCCATGCTTGGAACAAACTTTAACTGGAAATTTATCTCCCTGGCCCATCCTTTATAAATATCAGCCTAGCAAGCAAGGAGGATTACTTGATTTACTTTAATGAAGTTATGTGATCTACTGAACAACCCCAATTTATGAATTTGGAAAACCTCATCCTAGATCCATCAATATGATGTCTTTTTTTTTTTTTATCAGTACGCGGGCCTCTCACTGTTGTGGCCCCTCCTGTTGTGGAGCACAGGCTCCGGACGCGTAGGCTCAGTGGCCATGGCTCACGGGCCCAGCCTCTCCGCGGCATGTGGGATCTTCCCGGACCGGGGCACGAACCCGTGTCCCCTGCATCGGCAGGCGGACTCTCAACCACTGCGCCACCAGGGAAGCCCAATATGACTAGTCTTTTAACTCCTCTTGCTACGTCTCTGGGTTATGTTGAAGGTGTTTGTGGTTCTAGAATAGAGTAATGCTTAAGAGCCAGGTTCCAGGGATCTGGCTTTTATAGGTTCCATTCCTAAATCCACCACTTATTTTAGCTGTGTGAACTTGAACTCTCTCGGCTTCACAGGGATACTAACAGCATTAAGCATTAAGTCCTATGGCTTTTGAGAGAATTAATTAAGATAATATATGTAAAACACCACTATGTCAGGTACACAGTAGTCAGTAAAGGGTAGCTGCTTTATTATTACTGTTTATTATTGTTTAATGTTCATTTTAAAAGTACAGTTGAATTCTCTAGTAAAAGTTACTGTGCACTTTCTTCGGGTATGCTCACCTGAAGAATTTAAATTTTTCTTTCATAAGAAGATGAAGAAAAGGGCATCACTTATGATCTGATCTATTTAGACTTGTTAAACGTCAATATTTTAAATGATCCCTATGGTTTTCTAAGATCAGTTTTCTTTTTCTAAAATTTTATTTATTTATTTGGCTGCATTGGGTCTTTTTGTTGCTGCACGCGGGCTTTCTCTGGTCGCGGCGAGTGGGAGCTACTCTTCGTTGTGGTGCGCAGGCTTCTCATTGCGGTGGCTTCTCTTGTTGCAGAGCACGGGCGCTAGGCACGCAGGCACATGGGCTTAGTTGCCCCGCCTCATGTGGGATCTTCCCGGACCAGGGATGGAACCTGTGTCCCCTGCATTGGCAGGTGTATTCTTTTTTTTTTTTTTTTTTTGGCAGGCGGATTCTTAACGACTGTGCCACCAGGGAAGTCCCTAAGATCAGTTTTCATAATCAATGTGATTACTATACCTATATTGATTAATAATGAGTGTATGAACTGTTCAGAATTCATAGTCAATCTATACTTGTTTTGGCTATGCCACAGACTTTGTTTTTGCATATAGAATTTTGCATATAGTCTCAAATTAAGCTGTGGACCCTCATGCACACTAATCCTCATCAGACACCCATGCTATATGGTTTGAATATTGCCAGTTTCCATGGGAAAGGAACATCAGCTTAAATTCTGTGTGTTATGGACAAGAAAAATATCAATGAAATAGCTTTATCCTATAGCACTGTATGGCCATTTCCAAGAGAGACTCCTTCCATGTTTCCATGCCAGTGTAGGGAGGAATGAATGAGTGCACACACGTGTATATACACACACACATGCACACACTTAAACTTCTTTTTAATAAAATAAATTAAGAGAGTAGTATTTACATCCTTCTGGCACTGTTTCCTCTGAATTCTGAAGAAACAGCTTGGGGAAAACCCTTGCTGTCTTTTGCCAATAGAGTTGTTACACTAAAATCTGAACCGGCTTTTCAGCTGGATTTGGTCATGGGAGTCAAAGCAGAGCTTGTGCTGTTATATGTGTCCCTGCCTCTCTCCACTCCCCCACATTAGTTGAGCCTCACTGCTCTTCCCCATAATCCTCCCAGCCCCACTCTCCAGGTTTGCTGAGCCTCACTGCTCCAACAAGTAATGCACTTCTGACACAATGGGGGACAGCAGGGGCAGTGTGGGGGAAATCAGATAATGCAGACACCAGCTTGACACTCTTGCTTCCCTTTGAGTGCCACATTATAAACTGGCCAAGTGAAACATGAAGGTATTATCCCGTCTTATCTGGTGGTTGAAAGGGGTGCAGCCTCCTTAATGGTAAGGTTTTGGGCTTGTTGCCAAAGGATTCTCACTTTCGCTGCTTCCCATGTTCACCCAGAGTGCTCTCTCCTCCCCTCTGTTAGCTGTTTTGACTTGAACATGCTCCCGGATGAGAGAGGATAACCTGTCAGGACCAGGTGTTGTCTCTGCCACACAAGTTTTATGAAGAACAGGTCAATTCCAAAGCCAATTTAGAAATGTGTACAACTGGAGGGAGAGTTTAGGGACTCCAGGATACCTTACAGATAACCTAGATTTCATAGAGTTTCCCACACTCATGCACCTCCCCTGGACTGGCTTGAGTCTTCTCCCAGGGAAACCTGTCATTCTTGGATCACTATCTTCCTATCTCAGAGAAGAGCATGTAAACACACACACACACACACACACACACACACACACACATTCTTCAGAGTGAGAATCTACATGAAATGGCTCCAGGGTTGTTTTTTTTCAGCAAGCTTCACAAGTGAATCTGATGCCTAATCTGTACTTTGAGAAAGAATGCCCACAGCATTCCTATAGTCCCATCTAGAGACAAACTCAAGGGCTAACTTTTTAAATTTATGAGCCATTCTGATACAGCAAAACACGCTGAAGCTCAAAGTTCCTCTTATTGCTGACAGTAATCAATAATAAAATGTATAGCACTACTTTTGAAAAAATGTCCGAAACAGGCGCCTAGTTTTCATTAACTGTTATGAGTAAATGGCTTAATATGCCAGCGCCAAAAGCACAGCCTTCCGACAGCATAATTAATTCTACAAAGACCAGCACACAGACCATCATCCAGTTGTTGTTTGTGTGACCCTGAAGAAAATTATTTAAGATATCTGAAGTTTGGTCTCATTATGGGTAAAATGTGTTCTCTATTTATCTCATAAAATTTTCGAAGGATTACAGATAAGTAAAGACCCTTGCTTAACACGCAGTTCGTGGAGAGGAGCCACCAATTCAGGGTGGCTCCCTTCCCTCCTGTTTCTGAGCCTTTCTTACAAACACCTAGACTTTGCTTTCCACCACGCCAGAGGCCTTAATTTACCTGTTCGTCCACGATGCTACATGGCCACTCTATTTAAGAGCTCAGGAAAGTAAGGCACACCATCCTCGGAAATCAAAGGCGTGTACAGGTAATATTTCATTAAACCACGTAGAAGCCTGATGTTGAAGGAGGCAAAGATTCTCATCTTCATTTTACAGGCACTTGAATTTTTTGAGGTTGTATGCTTCTAAGAAAACAACCAATCTGTGACCAAGATGTAACTAAGACCCACAATTTCTAATTCCCAGGCTTTGACTCCAACCTCTGAAAATGCTTCAATTCAATGAAGCTAATGGCACTTTGGTCTCCGGCATTAGATCCTGTTATCAATGACTTCCACATGGAAAGATTATTCCAAAATGTGTGATTAACCAAGAAAATGCAAATAAACCAATTTGTACCTGCTATTTAGAGGTAAGACACAGAAATGGCTTAAGTTCATTATTTGAAAACTAACCTTTTCTGCTTCAAATGTAGCTTATGTTCTCCACTTGTTCACATATTTTTCAAAAATTACATTTTCAGTGAAATATTGTAGATCATTTGTGATTCTATTACCAGTGCAGAACCTGAATGGAGAGAGAAATACATGTCATCAGACACAATGGGAAGAAAACCCTTCTTTGAACAACATTTAGCAATTCAAAGTAATAAACATTTTTTAAAATTCTACTGTGTACTAGGCACTGTGCTGAGTGGGGTATGAGACAAGCTCCCAGTCTAGCCCAGTGGGAAACACGGTAACACTTGGCAAATGTTACTGAATGATTGAACCTAGTGGAATAAGTAAATACTTAACTATACCTTTGGAAAAAGCAGTTGGTAATTGTATAATAAAGCAGGTCTATAAGGTTACAGTCTAGAAAGGCTGCATAGAGGAAGAAATATTTAATGTGGACCTGAAGACTATTCCTTTCAAGCGACAGAGACTCAATTCAAAGTGGTTTAAGGGGAAAAAGGAGATTATGGTTTACCACTATTAGAACAAGGGCTGGACCACCTTGACTCCCTTAGTCTCCCAGCTCTCTTATCTGATTCTTTTTGCATGTTGGCCTCATTGTCTCCTACTACATGTGAGCTTTCTCCTTGTCATAGGGAACATGGTCACTGGCAGCTTTGGGCTAAACGTCATTCCAAAGTAATGATTCAGAAGGAAAGGGTGTCCCTTACCTACCTTCAACCTTGCAAGGACTCCAACTGGCCCAGCTGGGGTTACTTGCTCACCCTTGGATCAATCATTGGGGTCACAAGCATGATGATGTATACGGCCTAGGTCGGTGATTGGCAAGGCTTTCAAAACGCATCATTGCAAAGGGAGAGAAGCAGGTTCTCCTAGAAAGAGGAGTTCTGGGTAAACCAGAAGAATTAAATCCATTGAAGTCTAGAAAAACAAATTGGCTACCCCCATGCTAAGATGGAAACTAAAGTCATTCCAAGCAGAGACCTTGAGCAAAAGCAAGAAGAGGGAAAACTCAGTGCGTGTTGAGGGACTGGATGGTATTGGTGGTACACAGTGGGAAAGAATGGAAGGTTGCTGAGGTCAAATAGTGTGCATATTTGAAGCCCTGTAAAGAAGTTGGTGCTATGTTCTCTAAGCAGAGTATAGTTTTTTAAGGTTTTGAGAGTTACATAGTACATTCTACATTTTAGAAGAACAATCTTATCTCATGGAGGATATGCTGGATAGAAATACTGGAGACAAGGAGATTGGGTAGGGAAGGTATGGTGGGCATGTTGTTTTGTCTGAAAGTGTTCATTTCCTCGTGAGAACTTCCTCTCCACTCTGGGCAGTCTTGGTAGGACTGTCAATCAGTGTCCCACAGAACCACAAGGTTGGGTCAATTTTAGTGCTGCATTTCCTGGGACGCACAATTGGTTCATGGATAAGCATGTGATTCAAGCAGAGCCAATCTGAGTTCTTTCCTGAGGTTAAGCCATGGATCCTTTCAGTAAACATAGTCTAAAGATGCAGACTGAGAGTTCCCAACAGCCATCCTGCCATTACACAGAAAGAGTCTGTATAAAATAGAAGCCAACATATGAGAAAACACAGAGGTGAAAGGGAAAAAAGAGCTCTACAACATTGTGTCAGCCCTGGGTGACAGTGTCCTGAAATTCCCAGTTACATGTGTCAATATCACTCTTCTTTTGTTTGTCTCTTAATTGCATTTATTTCACACTACAACTGCATACAAAAGGTACCTGTCATTTATTAAACAGCTATTACATACTAGGCATGGTACTGGGTACTTTATGTATATTATAATATTAAATCTTTACAATAACCCTGAAAGTAAATATTATGATTCCTCATTTTACAGAGGGAAAAATCATGACCCAAATAAATTAAGTAACTTCAAAAACTTTATTTAAATATTAAGAGTTGGAAATGATATTCTAAAGGTTTGTTCAACTCCAAAGCCTATATTCTTTTTACTTTACCATATCTATGCTACATTGCTCTGTAGCATTAGAGAGCAATATTCTCAATAAGAAATAATAAAAGCGTGAACTGAGGCAATAGCAGCAAGAATAGGAGGAAAAGGCAGATTCAAGAGACGTTCAAGAAAGAGAAAAAATAGTTCCTATTGATTTTTTTTTCCAAAGAATTTTAAATGTTGAGGAACAGTAAGAAATCTAAGAAGATTCTGGAATCCAGTTAATCTAAGTACATATAGGAGTAAAGGCTGATTGGAAGGGAACAAATCATGTTTCATTTAAAGTGTGTGTTGACTGTTGGTGGAAACATAAACTGGTGCAGCCACTGTGGAAAACAGTATGGCGGTTTCTCAGAAAACTAAAAATAGAACTACCACATGACCGAGCAATTCCACTCCTGGGTATATATCTGAAAAAAAACGAAAACACTAATTCGAAGAGATACATGCACCCCAATGTTCATAGCAGCACTATTCACAATAGTCAAGATACGGAAGCAAACAAAGTGACCATCAACAGATGAATAAATAAAGAAGATGTGGTATATATATCTACAAATGGAATACTATTCTGCCATAAAAGAAGAAATTTTGCCATTTGCAGCAACATGGAAGGACTTGGAGTTATTAAGTGAAATAATCAGACAGAGAAAGACAAATACTACAGGATATCACTTATATGTGAAATCTAAAAAATACAACAAACTAGTGGATATAACAAAAAAGAAGCAGACTCACAGATATAGAGAAAAAACTAGTGGCTACCCATGGGGAGAGGGAAGGGGGGAGGGGCAACAGAGTGGTAGGAGATAAAGAGGTACAAACTATTATGTATAAACTAAGCTACAAGGTTATATTGCACAGCACAGGGAATATAGCCAATATTTTATAATAGCTATAAATGGAGCGTGACCTTTAAATATTGTGAATCACTATATTGTACACCTGTAACATATAATATTGTACATCAACTATAATTCAATTAAACAATACTTTAAAAATAAAATAAAGTGTGTGCTGAATATCCAAGTGGAGCCATCCAGTGAGTTAAGAATATAGTTCTGGTGATCCAATAGATATATAGGCTTGAGACTAGTATATCTATACCAGTGTTTGCCTCTGGAGTGGATAAGACTATTGGCAGATAGCCCATAAAGTGAGAAATAAAAGATAGCAGAAGGTGAACCCTCTAGATTTGAAAAGATCAGCATTTAAAGAGTAGGGCTTTGTTCCTGCTACCTCCCTCTGGAGTGCTCTTCTCCTTTGTGTACCTTGTGTATGTATAGTCATCTGTAACAACATTACACAATCATAATACCTCTTCGAGGTTTGGTTGGCTCTTCCATTCTTCATCCTCTAACAGAGAGATGTTGTTATGTTCATGAGTTTGTTATATTTTTTAGATTCCACATATAAGTGATATCGTACAGTATTTGTCTTTCTCTGTCTGACTTATTTCTTGGTGGAAGTATATAGGTCAAACATTTGATCATGTATTGTCTAATTTACTCTCCACTGACCAGATAACAAAATGATAAGATCATTTCATACTAGAGCTGTCTCCACTTTTGTTAGGCTGTGGTAAATGCTCTACGTTCAGTTGGTGTGAAGAGACACTAAGTACTTGTTTTTTATGGCAGGTATATCTACTGCTGCTTTTCAAGTGAATAACAAAACCCATTTTCCCATAACTCAAATATCTGTTATGTACTCCTGATTTAAAGACATTTTTTCTGAAATGTTTCTGCTTTCTGGGAACACTCAAACACAATGTTCCCGGAACACAGGGAACACTCAAAATATTGTTATAAAGTATAAGGTCAATTTGGCATTATCTATTAAGAGACTTCAAGATGTGAGTAACTTTTGATTAAGCAATTCCACTTCTAGGAAGATATCCTAAAAAACAATCAAAGGCTAATATTACATTTAAAAATGTTCATTGCCACAGCATTTATTATGGTGAAAAAAAACCCTAATGTTCTTCAATAGGGAAATGGTTCAAAAATTATAGTACAGTGGATTATTGTCCTGTCAGTACAATCACATTTTTAAAGATTATATGATGAAACAAGACAAATGTATACAACAAAATGTTAAATAAAAAATTGGGACACAATTACACATATAATATGAAGCCAATTTTGTGACACGTACACATAAGAAGATTGTAAAGAAATACAAATATTTCATGCTATAAAAATTCAGTTCCTGAATTCAGATAATAAGCTTTCAGACAGTCAGAAATATCCGTATATTAGAGTAGCAACTATCTCTAAGTGAGAAATGACATTATTTTCTTCATCTACTTTTGCAGATTATGCACATTTACTAAATTAGAATGCTTTCTTGGGCTTCCCTAGTGGCTCCGTGGTTGAGGGTCTGCCTGCCGATTCAGGGGACACGGGTTCATGCCCCGGTCCGGGAAGATCCCACATGCCGCGGAGCGGCTGGGCCCGTGAGCCACAGCTACTGAGTCTGTGCGTCCAGAGCCTGTGCTCCACAACGGGAGAGGCCACAACAGTGAGAAGCCCGCGTACAGAAAAAAAAAAAAAAAAAGATTTCTTTATAGCTAAAAAGTTATTATGATACAAACATTTCTATTTTTACAATAAGAAGAGATTAAAAGCATTTTTCTTCTAACCTCAGCTTTTAGAAGGTCACTGCATCCCTGTGACTCTATATCATTTCACATCTAAGTTAAGGTACTTTTTCTTCTTTGCTGTCAGGTAGTTAAAGAAATAACCTAAACCAAATATAACTAAGTAAAGTAGCCTACCGATGCCCCAGCCACATGAGTCATCTACAGTCATCTCTCTTCCCAGTCCACACAAGTCTTCCATCCCTAAGAACTGTATATGCTGCCTCCTTAGTGTTCTTCAAACTGTCCACTTGTTTTCATCTCCACCACTACTATGTTCAGTTCACCACCATTTTTCTCCTAGATTATTTCACAGCCTTTTAACTTGTCTGACAAAGTAAAATCCTTCAGAGGCTTCCCATACCCACTGTTCAGGGGATAAAGTCTCAACTCTTTAACACAGTTCAGGACCGCCTCATCTTCTGGTGTCTACTTAATTCTCCAGCCTTATATCTTCTAGCCTCCTTGTCACACTCTATGCCCCGGCACATGCAAACAGTAGCACCAGAATCCCTAGAACATGTCATGTCCTCATTCAACTCTTGGTCTTTGTACATTCTAGTCTCTATGCTTAGAATGTTTTTTCTTTCTTCCTTTCCCATCGTGCTTAACAATAGCTGACATCTGGTTATATCCTCCAGGTCGTAGTTGAGACAGTTCTATCAGGAGGCTTTCCTTGACCTCTTGGTCTGTGTAATATGCCCTTCCACTTGCATCCATGGCATCCTGTTATAAGCACTTTTGTGTATTATGCTATCAGAAAATATGCTACGATAATATGTGGTATGGAATATAGTATAATGTATTTTATTGTAACTATTTTTTCTTTGTATGTTTGTTAACTTGTTCATAATTGTTTATTTGTTTGTTATTTGGTTCTCCCTGACTAGACTGTAAGCTCCTTGAGGAGAAGTGCTCTACTTATTTACTTCGACAGTCTCAATGCCTAGCACAGTGCCTGATATATACTAGGGGCTCAATCATATCATTACATGATTAAATGGACAAATGAATGAGAACATCTCAAAGCCAGATAAAAATGGCTCTTGGGTTACCAACTAGACCCTGAGTTAACGCAGATGGAAAGCAGCCACTATTCCACTATCAGCATGGATGGACGAGCACACTCTTTTTAAATAAGACATAGTGAATAACATGGAAAGCAGAGGTTTGTTTAAGAAATGAAATAAATGAATGTTAACTGATCAAAAATGTCTAGCTAGCTTTAAATATATCACTTGTTTTTAATTAAACTGAATACCTTTATTTTATCTTTACCAGAATTTGATGTCATCGAGGATTTTTTCCCTTGTGATTTCTTTAAACTTGTTCAATGTCTTTTCATTGTAATGAAGGGAAAAGGAGATGTAATACTCCATTGCTGCAACCCCCCAAAGAACATTCTACACAAGTGACCCTTGTTATGTATTTTGGAAAATGGGGGTCTGGGCCAAGAGACTTTGGGAAACACTGTTTATTATTTCCTGCTCTTAGAAAGGTACAACAGAGATGACATATACTAAAGGCTGAGAAAAATTTGTTAGCTTAACTTTTTTTGAAGCCTGAATTATCAAACCTGTTCAAGCTTGTAGCCCAACTGAAACATTTTAGAAAACGCTGATATATGGATAGATGATGGGATTCAAGGTCAGGAGACCAGGCTCCAGTTCTATCTGTACCAGTTCTTAGAACTCACTTCAGTGCCAGAGCCTCAGTTCCCTGACTTGTAAAATGAGGAAGTTGGTCTAGATAGTGTCAAAGATTCCTTTCACACCTAAAATTCTATTTCAATCATGTCAAATAACTTGTCTTTCTACTTTGCATAAGAGATACTTAAGAACAAAATATATGTCAAGGATTACTTAATGTAATCATAGAGAACTAAATTTTTATTACACTTAACATTCTGCTTTTTAATTTTACATCATCATCTAGACCTCTAGATGGACATTCAGATAACTGAAACCTATTTGATCCTCACTCATGAAAATAAAAAATAGTTAATTTGGCCCTCTCTGCAATGGTCCTCTTAAATACATAGTGCCATTTTCTTCTTTTCCCTCCTGATAAGTAACTGAAATAAAACTAATGGATATACAAGTACAAAGATCATAAGGTTGGGACCTCTGAGTCTGACAAACAAAAAGCCGATTCTACATCTGCAGCGTGCTGTAGACACATCTGGCTTACTTTAGCTCACAATGGAGTAATATGAATTGTGATAAAAACCACTATTTGTGCAAATGCAAATAATATTCCATCTGCTCAGGACTTTTTTTTTTCCTTATATAGCTTTTGTTCCAGTGTGGTAAAAGCCTGTTTCTTTACCCTGAAGTGCTCCTGCTGATGAAGAGTGAAGTACATGACAATGAACTAAAATCCATTATCAAACAAATACAGTGAGCTTTTCAGCAAGTCATCACAGGGAATGTTGCCTTTTTCTCTGGCATTAAGTTGAAAGCGATTTGTGCTCATGCAAATAAGACAAAGTGGTGGGCTTTTTAAATTTTTATATATATATATATGTTCCATACACTGTAGTTTGCTTTGTAACTCTGCCATTTTTATATCTCCCTTGGTGGGGGAGGGCAGCAGAGAAGCATTTTGGCAGCCTTCTTTAGATTTCCTTTTGGTTTGAGTAGTGATAAGTTCTCAACAGAAGAATTTGAGCTCTGCCTTATGCTGTGTTGAATAACTTACTTGGGAATTGGGAGAACTGCCTTCCCAGCTCCTGAGAAGAATCTAGGGCAGGTTGGAAGGAAATTTAACCCCTGTGCTGCTGAAACCATAGTAAGTTTCAAGAGATTCAACTTCAGGATTTGCTGGTGGTGACAATCAAAGGTAAATGGTCCGGGACTTCCCTGGTGGCACAGTGGTTAAGAATCCGCCTGCCAGTGCAGGGGACATGGGTTCAATCCCTGGTCCGGGGAGATCTCACATGCGGTGAAGCAAGTAAGCCCGCGCGCCACAACTACTGAAGCCCGCACACCTAGAGCCCGTGCTCCACAACAAGAGAAGCCACCGCAATGAGGAGCCTGCGCGCCGCAAGGAAGAGTAGCCCCCGCTCGCCGCAACTAGAGAAAGCCCGCGTGCAGCAACAAAGACCCAATGCAGCCAAAAATAAATTTAAAAAAAAAAGGTAAATGGTCCAAGTTCAATCTTAAATTAAACATTTCCTAGTGCTCAGACATTCTTTTCAGTGCCCTGGGCCTAAATCTGAGGGCTTTGTGAAAGTTATACTCTTCCTAAAATTAATAGGCTATTTCTCTATTTTCAGGAAGAATATCTATGTGAGTGACAATTATACCACTGCCACTATTATTACTACTACTACACAAGACATTGATAAGCCAACTCCAGAGAGCAGTCAGATTCGGGGAAATGTATGAAGCCTTCTTTTCAGTCCACTTCGCCCTTAGCTTTGCCCTTTGTTTCGCTTTCTTGTCCCCTTCTCCTAAGATCTATGATTTCTATTTCGATGAAACGGAGAAAAAAGCAAAAGAATTTGATCCTTTCTTCCTAAGATCAGAGAAGTGGGGCAGAAAAAGATTATAAGCTTGTATGAGCATGAAAACACACTTTTATTTTTACATAAAAACTGAAGGCTTATTTTACACCAATTCTTACTGTTTTATTTATGCCTGATGATTTTATTCAATATTAGTTGTATTTTAAATAATCCAACTAATATTTTCATCTTTGTGAAATTTGAAGAATATTATTTTGGAACAGAGCATTTTTGGAGGTTTGTCTTTTTATAATTTTTATAGTTTATAGATTTCAGGTTATGCATTTCTCTTTTAAGTTTAAATTTTATAATGCTATTTTCAATTAACATTGATTTGTGAATGAAGTACATATAGTATATTGATTTGTGAGTTTGATTTGTGAATGAAGTACATATATATAGTGATGTTAACATACAATGAAATAATAGAAGTAAAAGCACTTGAATTATTAGAGAAAAGTTGCTATGGACATCTAAGATGTTAATGCTCTTAATGCATATAATTTATAATTCTGGGGGGGAAAATGATTGCCAGAAAATGAACAGTATTTCCTTTCTAGAATACATTGTAAACATCAACAGATGATTATTTTCTTATAGCTGACTTTCTAGGACATATATTAAACTACCTTTTACAACCCAAGTAAAACCTGAAATTAAGCACTTGAATACACAATTCTGTTATATTGACAGTTTTGCAGTTAAGCTACCTGCAAATATTAACATCATTCCCCAAAGAGTTCAATTTCACAGCTAAAAACCTGATCTAAAATGAATTAGTTATTTAGAACCCAAACCTACTAAACTACAGCAGTTATGTTGGTATAGTGTTTGTAATTATATTTACAATTTTGTGGTGTATTTTAGAGCTACTAAGAATTGTAAAGAGATAAAATAATATTTGCCCTAATAAGGCCACTTTTATCAAAGGTGATTTCCTTTTATGTTAAGGCAAGATAACTTTTCACTCTTCCTGACTTCAAAGGAAAACGCATTATTCCAAATATGTTTTAAACTTTTAACATAAAATCCTTACACATTAAACCATTAATATACGGTTGGTCAGGAAAATGTCTCATTCCACTCACAATAATGTCTCAGTTTAATTAGACTCTGAAAAGTAAAGGATTTAAATTCAAATCCTGGCCAACATTAATTATAGAATTCTTAATATTGTAGCATGCCCTTTACTAAGTTCCTAGGATATGTCCTGAGCTAAATAAAAAAGGAAATGAGCTTCTGGGGACAAAGGACTGATTTTTGTAAAATACTGTATGT